CTTAAACAATAATAAGTTTGTTTATGCTATGTTTTATAATACTAGACAAGATTAAGATTGATTATAGGAAATGTAGTTTAAGGTTCATCATAAATATGGATGATGGAGGGTATCAAGCTTGAGTTGTGAAAATTTGATGGTAGAGTGCATGAAACTAAGAGTAGGTCTTGTCATATTTAGAAGGTGAAACATCCCTCACTCAAGAGTAATTGGCACCCATATCATGAAAAGATTGCAAAGGCATATATGAGAGTTAACAGTATCTTTATATAGACAACTTTAGAGGCAACAATCGTCCATATTCAATAATTCTCTCAATCACGACAACGTGGGCTCGTTAGTGACATCCAAATTATGGTGATGATCTTTGTTGTCTACTTGTAAGATGAGGCATCCCTAGATCACTTATCATTGCCTCTGTCTTTCATTTATTAGTTTATATTCATTTTGATATTATATATTTTTATACTTATAAATTTATATTTTGTTCTGATACAATTTTAAGATTTTGATATTGATAAATTTAATTTTAATAATATTTATTAGTTCCTAAAATATTTTTTATTTTAATTTTTATAAAAAATTTATTCAATTTTAATCCTTAACATGTGATTTTAGTCCTGAACTAAAACTGCGTACTTTTTGTTAAATATATGAACTAAAATCAAATAAAATTTTTATAGAAATTAAAATAAAAAATATATTTTTTCCATTAAAAAACCCTCTTTCTTTTTAAAAGTGAAGCGGTGCATATTATATCACTGATACTAAAAAATTTTCTAAGTACATTGAGTCATTCAACTAATAAAGTAAAAACACAAATATCATTCTTACGGTGATTAAACTCAAATACCAACAGAAAATTATCCTTTAGACTTAGTCTTGAATGGATAGACATGATCATTATATAAAAACAAGGTAAACAAAAACAAAACATGGCAAACTAATACAAAATAATAAAATTCAAGAATCTAAGACTTATGATATATAGAATCATCTTAAACCTCACTTCAAGTAGTTAAATATGTTTTTAACTTGAGTTTTTTTTTTAAAAAAAATTGATTCAAAATAATTGCACAAAATTAGTTTAAAGTATATAGAACACGATGCTCAAAAGATTATTTCGGTGTAATAAAAAATATTTAAAATATAATAAATTTTTTTTAGCGGAAGACAAGGTTATAAAAACTAACAAAAAATGATTTTGTAACATAGAAAAATAATTAATAATAAGAGAAAAAAATCTTTTGTATAGTACTTTTTTAAAATATATATAACACTTTGACGACTGACAAAGTATTCATACACATTTAAATATAAGTAATAATAACAATTAAACTAAGATAATAAAATAAAAATAATAATTAATAAATTTTTTTAAAATATAATTGTATTATTTTCTAACAATTTTAATTTTTAACATTTAATTAAAAGTCAATTTTTTTAGATTAGACTAACTTTAATTTTTTAATAATTAGCCACATTTTTCTATGTTAAGAATACTAACTTCTTAAGTTTTTTTAGTTCAAATAAATACTAGATCAAAAATTTATAAGAACACGTAATTACTAATTTTTATTCTTAAAATATCAACAACGATAGTGAATTACTCCAATATATAATTTACTAACCAATTTTTTAATTGTGAAAGAGGATATAACGTCACTCAATGGTTGACTAATCTATAAAAGCATTAATAGCATAAATATACACTTATAAAAACTAACTATCAAGATTCACCATACCCTAACCTACAAAACTAAGTGCACATGATTGAAGAAAAAAAATCATAAGAAAGAAAAGACAAAAAAAAAAAAAAAACTTGATCCATTAGAATTTTGTGAATCTGCAACCTAATTCCTCAAAACTTAATCTCCATCAATCCTAATATTGCACACAGATAGAGTGTGTGTGTGTGTGTTGGATAGAGAACTAAAATTCTAATTATACAAAATTGTGAAACATGTCCAAATATGACGGAGGATGAAATTTATACAAATTATTTTGCAATTTGTATGTTTCACGTGATATTGATATTGGCTTTGTAGTCACAAATTAGTCATAATGCTCTAAAATCATCATTTTTCCATTACCCTTGCGAAGATTGTTAATCCAAACAAAACAATGAATAGTCCACAAAAAATTAAAATTAATGATTACCAACACTTTAAATATTTCAATTATTACTAGTTTAATAAGACTAAAATTTCACTAATCTTTCATGGATCACACTTATGTAAATTATTAGAATGCTCATTATTTTTTTTAAAATACTATTAATAAAATGATATAATTGACACTTATCATGTACCCACATGCTTGATGTCATAAGAATGAAATATTGGTAGTCCACTACACTAGAAAAGAGATGTGAGAGAGGTTTTGTTTTAAATTAGAAAGCATTTATAACTGTTCTAAAATCTCGTACTATCCAATGTGTTATATTTAAGAGAGCAGTTAAACAACCGTTTTCAAATGTTAAGATTGGAGAGTGATTCTACGTGAAACTGCTCTCATAAAGTGGATGTCACTTTGAGAGCGGTTCATATAATTGCTCTCCAAAGTATGAATGTAAACTGCAAATATGAAATTTAAAATTTATTTCTTTGTGAGTTTTCAATTACAAACTAAAATTAATTTATTGTTATGTTGAAATTTTCATTTATAGGTCTGACATTCAAAATTTTTTCATTTTTATCACAAATCAAAATTAAATCATGAGTTTATACATTGTGTTAACCAAATAATCTACATCTACATGAACTAAACACAAATAAGTAGAGAAAAAGAGAACAAATTAGTAGTATGATTTAATATTAATAAAGAGAAAAAGAAAGAAAGAGAGAATTGGATGATTCACTGTTAATAAAGAGAAAAAGAGAGAAGGAGAGAATGAAGATAATTGTGAAAAAACTACCTACAGATATAAAAAAATCCAATTTGTTAGCACAAAAAAGATGAAGAGAGTAGAGAAGATGAAGAAAATCTACAGACGTGAAAGAGACCAAAGACACTAACTTTGTCAACGTAGAAAAGATGAGAAAAAAAAGAGGTAAAAGAGACCAACTTTGTTAGTAAGACAAAGAGATTCATGAATTGAGCGTGTTTTGTTTATAAAAGCTAAAGACTTTATATAACGATTCTCTATTAACCACTCTCCAAGAGTAACTTTAGAGAACGGTTCTTTATTAACTTCTCTCCAATGTATAACTTTAGAGAACGGTTAATAGAGAACTACTTTTAAAAGTATAGATTTGAGAGTGGTTCAATGATAACCGCTCAGAGAACCACTCTCAAAAGTATAGATTTGAGAGTTGTTCAACACTAACCACTCTCTAAATATATTATTAAAAAGCGGTTTAATACAAACTACTCTCTAAATGTATTGTTATAAAACCGTTTCTACTAACCACTATCTAAGTTAGTATTTCAAAAGCTTGTTTTTAGCATAGTGACCTCAATTGCTCTTATCATATCTTTCTTTGCAACAATATAAAAAGGCCATTGTTTCTTTTCATGAAATACAATTCCAAGATCCATCTCTAAAAGTGTTATGATGCCTTTCATCATCTAATTAGCCTATGGTTATTTAAGTTCTCTTATGGCAAGAGTGTATCAAATTGTATAATGTTTTATAGGATTTCTATTAGACATTTTATGTTGCCTTTTCGCAATGTCAAAAAGATTTACAATTTTCAATGTAAACATTCTCAAACATTTCAAATATATAGTTAGATAGTAATTCCTTAGAAGGTATAATGTGTAACAATGCGCCCAAGTATATAACTCATGAATTAGTGGGACCATCAAAGCTACAAAATGGTGTATATTCAATTTCATTAATTATTGCATTTTCATATTCATCATTTTCCTATTTCCTTCTATGATTATTTTATATCTTTAAGAATTTTCATTAATTAGGAAAGTGACCCATTTACTCTCAATTCTAATGAAGAATTTATTTATTTATTTTTTTACTTTTGTTTGATATTTCATAAAAAAATTTGATGTGCAAACCTTGGACCTAATTTTGATCCTTTTAGCTACCCATTCCTAAATATGTACTCAATAAAAAACTATAAGCAAGACTAGAATATTCCCTTAAATCTCTCCTACAAATATCTTTGTTAAGGTATTTGTAGGAGAGATTTAAGTATTGATTAAGGTGTATGTGGAATACTTAGTAGTTAGTCAATTTAATTTAGCTAAATCAGTCTTAGCTAAAATTTTAATTTATTGCAAAACAGCATTGTTTATATTATAAATTTGAATTACATATATATATATTTTAATAAAATCTTTGTCTTTATTCTAATTATAAATTCAAATAATGAAAATGCATCTTTACTTCCTTATGAATGAGATTTTTATACTGACAAAAGTTTTAAAATTTGCTTACCTTTATCCGTTTATATTTATATACTTGTACAATTTTCTAAAGTTATTCAAACCCTTACGAATTTCACTATGTTTATTTCAAAATAATATATATTATTAAGAGAAATTATTTAAATTATAGTAAGGATGTTATAAAATACCTTTAAGAAGAGAAAAAATAGAAAATCAAAACAAATTTGAAGAGCTGAACTGCAAGGAACTTACTTAGAATTGATCAGATTAGATATTTGAGTTTGGATTTGAGGAATGATCAAGGTTTGAAGAAGTTTTCTTTGAGAAAGGAAGTGAGAGTTCAGAGAAAATTTAGAAGAAACATAACTTAAAATGAAACTAAAAACTTTTATGCTAGAAATCACTTAAATACCTTTAAGCTCTCACACGCTCTCGTTTGAGCAAGGTGGCTCTCGCCTAGGTGAGCCCTTTCTCGCCTGGACGAGAAAACCAAATAGAGGGATAGAGGAATTTTTCTTAGTTTTTTGATATGCTCGCTTGAGTAAGGGTCATTCTCGCTTGAGCAGGAAGGGTCCAAAGAGTTGGTAATTTTTTCCATGAGTCCTCGCTTGATTGAGATACATTTTCGTCTGAGCAAAATCACTTCTCACTTGTGCGAGAAGATAGTTGGGCCAAGCAATCTTGCTTGAGCAAGACAGGTATCGCTCAAGCGAGACGAGCGAGATCCCCCTACACCAATCCTCTATCAAACACTCATCAAATCAAATTAAAAACATTCCAGCATTATCCAATATCAAGCAATGTAAACAAATAATAAATAAAAAGGGTATTACATACTACTTTAATAATTTTTAATACTTGCTTCATGCTTTTTGTTGTTTTTCTTTTCAAGTGTTGATACAACTTCTTTCATTACAAATAATTCTGTGTTTACTTCTAAAATTTGATAGTAAACTTCTCAATCATTACCTTATCTTTTTCTAATGTTATTGCTTTTATTACTTCATATAAACTAAGGACCCAATGGAAAGAACCAATAATTTTAATACTAGTTGTTGGGAGTAAGAGAAAAAAATGACCCAAGAATTTTGCATTTACATTCATAATTACACTTAAAAGGTATTTTTATTGACACAAAATTTACTAGACATTGCATATGTATGGTAATAATAGTATAAACCTCCAAATTATTCTCTAAAATAGCAAGCGTAAGACTTAGTCTTCAACTTTTTAAAATTGTCTTATAAATTTTTCATATTGCAATTTTTTAGACAATTAGAGTATGAGAAACACTAATTTTTAGTAGCATGTCATGTTAAATAAGATGTAATGGAAACATACCTCTGTTAGAATAATGTCAATGCCTCCGACCCCTAACTTACCTTGCCACTGTTGTAGAGGGACATCAAATTGGCAGTGTCGTTTTCCCTGTTGCTGTTGCTGTTGCTGTTGCTGTTGACAATGACAGCAATATCAACAAGATCACAACTTGCTTTTCTTCTTCCAAAGTGATTGCTACATCAACACTTGTCTTCCCAAAGACAACAACCTTTGCTACTTCCACTGCCACTAGTACTACTCTTCCACTTTCTTCCATCCTTGTTTCCGTTTTTCAACAAAATGAGCTTCATCAAGTGAAATTTAAACCCTAATTGACAATTGTTAAGTGAGAATAAAAAGTTTGGTGACTCACTTTTTTTATTTGGATTGACCTCAGATGTGGTTGAAACACCTCAGATGTTGTTGTGTCTAATGCTAATTCGCCCTGGACGTCAATGTCGTCATTATCAACGACGGCAACAAAAGCAGCACCACAAATTTGGTGTTCCTCTGCAGCAGTGACAGGATTAAGTTAGGGATTGAAGACAGTAACGTTGTTGTGATAAAAGGATGTTGGTATTATACATGTAACTTTACGTGACATTTCAGTAAAATTTAACGTTTCTTATATGTTTATTAACGTCAGAGAATTTAACCAGTTGACAAAATGTAATTTAAAAGACTAACAAAGCAATTTTAAAAAGTGAAATATTAATATGCTCAAAGATTGTTGCTCTGACGACTAATTTAGAAACTTAGTCAACAATAATAATATAATAAGAAACGTAGAAAGTCCTCAAAAATAATAAATCTAGAACTAATTAGTCATCAGTACTCTAACATAGTTCTCATAAGTTTTTAACCATGTAATTATGTTTATGCGTAGTTATTAAATACAATATAAGAATATAATAATATAATAAGTGTATCTAAAAGATAACAATAACTCGGTAGTTAATAATGTATGTATTATTTTTCATGACTTAGTTTAAGTATCGCCTTCACGTTCTCACCAATTGGATAAATGTCGCTTATACACAACAATTACATAATTATAGCTAAAATATCGAAACTATTGTTTTACGTGGTTTCGAAAACTATTACTTTCTCATATGTTAGGTAACAATTTTTATTAGTGTGACCATAAGTAAAAATTTGTTGACAATATAGGAAAAGGCAACCTCCACTTAGAATATACTTGAAAAAGTATTACTTATACTTTTAGCAACAATTTTTTAAATGTAATTATAAATAAAAAATTATAATGATTTGAAAAAAAGTTGAATAACCTTGCTGTAAACGACATAACTTTCACTGCAAATTTAATTCCACCTCATGTGTCACCATTTTTTAAGATAATTAAATTATTAAAGCATGCATATAATTATGGAAAGGTACGTAAATATATTAAATTTTCATATATAGATAAATAAATAAGATAAATACACATAAATAGTTTCCATATATTTATCTAAGTTCAATACTTAACAGACATTTTAGGAAATGATAATCATAACTAGCTAGTAAAGATTTATAACACCCTCCAGATTGAGCTGCTACAAGAAAGCAGCAAATCACATTGTTTAATTTTCCATTAGCTACTCATTATTAATGACCTAACTCTTTTGCTGCGACAGAAAGAGGTTGGAACCCATGCTGAAGAGTTGAACGCCAAACTTTGTCTATTTTATGCATTGTGTATCCACACTCATGTTCATTCCATCCTTCTAAAGAATGCACTATCCCAGCTATGCGCCATGCACTCATTACCCTCCTTGGCAACCAATCCTGCAATACATATAATGTTTTAAATTTTACACTTAAAAAAGTATTTTAAATACACATAAATTGGTAAAATTATTTTTAATCTATTTTTAAAATTTTATTTTTCCTACTTTTATAATATTTAAAAATAATATATGTCACCACCAATGTGGCATGCGTATAGTCATATCATGTCAATGATTATTTTGAGATAGTAAGTGGCATGGCATATTTTGATGATGTAATGTTATAGAAATAATTTTAAAAATAAATAAAATAAAAAATAAATAAAACTGAATTTAACTATACTTAGAAAGCTAAAAACATATTTTATTCAAAATTTTATCATTTGTTATGCTAACCAAACTTTTTCAATCATCCTGGTAGAAATTGATTAAGGTGATAGAGTCAATTGAAAAACTCCACGATTGAAAAGATGATCTGAACAAACCTCACAAGAGTGGACATTTTCAATAGAATGGGGAGCTAACATTGCTGGGGTGTAATGGTAGTAGCAATCCGTGCGATATTTCCTTGGAGGGAATTGTGAGTATGGAATAAATAATGTTCCTTTAGGTGCCTTTAGTTGTTCATCTTCAGTCAATCCATCTCCCACTAACCAAATCTGTCGAGAAAACAAAGATGAAAGAAAAAATAAACCATGCATCATTATTGACAAAGATGAGCGTATAAAAATGAGGATGAAAAATTAGCAATTATTTTTTTATACAATTTTTAACATAATTCCCATCCGTCAAGTTTTTTTTACCTATTTTAAAGGGTACTACCAAAACTACACCCATAATCCATTTTCATGCCTAACAATAAGAAGAAAATAAGAAAACGGTAGAATTAATTTCACGGTATGGAAACAAGTGCCTTGATGTTTCAACTTTATGTTGTTTCTTGTAGAGTAAATCCACAAAATAAAAGTATGAAAATTTTGTCATATTACCGTTTGAGTGCAATTTTTGGTAATGATCAAATCGGTTTCAGAGGTAGTGAACGATTTTTTAAGCCTCATATAATCATCCTCGCGCATAGTAGCAACCTGAAATATATATAGTTAATCACGGCATAAAAAAATTAATTAAGATTGAATAGAGTTTAAATACATACAGTATGAAATTAAATCTACACAAACTAAAGAAGGTGACCTGAATGCCCTGTTGATGCAATGTGAAGGCAATAGCATAAGCAACCTTGGTGAGTTTGCCCCTAAGTAATACTTGAGTTGTTCCTTTGGGAATGCTATTAATAACAACAGCAACTGCAAGGCTGCTACCATCTACAACCTTAACTTTCAGCTTTGGGTGCCTATTAACATATAGGCCTCCATATATGTTAAGGTCCTCTCCTTGATTCATAAGGCCTAGGCTCACAACCTTTATGCCTTTTCTGTCTGCATCTAGTATTGCTTCCTCTATCATTCTGTTGATGGCCACCTTTTGTGATTGCAAAAGGTACTACAAAAACAAGAAAATCCCATATATATTATCATTTACAGATTGCAATTAATGTTATTCTATATTATTAAAATAAACTGATTTTGATAGATAATCAATACTAACAAACCTTAAAGAATTAAGTTTTGTCTTTCTAGCTTGTTGTCTTCTTATGATATTTACTTTTTTTATTTTATTCCTTTATATCTTAGGTAAAATATTCGTTGAAGTGTCTACCTACCAATGTTTTTCTTTCAATAAATGTAATTGAGAAAGCGAACAAATATCTATTTATTGAGAATGAAAATCTTGATATTTACTTGGAGGTTGAACTTAGGTATTGCCCATGTTTGTAGCTTGAGTTTGTCAAAACGGTTCCCCTCCGAAATGAATGTACGACCATAGAGCCATGTGAGGATCATGGACCAAGCTGTCACGGGCCACATCAACCAAAGGTACCACTTTGACGTATAAGGTTTAGAGGCTAAGTATGCAAATCCAATCCTGAGATAATAGATGGATTCAGGGGTAGTGAGATGCGTTAGGTGTACCACATCTGGGGTCTCTTCCCCTCGTTTCAGTGCTGACTCGTGTAATTGATCTGAAGCCTTATCCATGGTGCCATAAATGTAGTCATAAAATGGCATAAATAGGGAGTAGTTTGTCCTGAACTGGGTATGGTGCAAAGAGTGAAACCTGTGAGGTGCAAGAAAATATGTAAATTTTGTTTGTGTAACTCCATACCTATGCAATTCAATTTCATTTCTTTCAAAAAGCTAAGTTCCCATTTTTGGACATGGAGATTAATAAACTTTCTTATGATAAATTTTGATAGATATACAAATAAATTCTAAAAAGCATAAAAGTCAAATTCCAACATGATCTGTTGCGTAAATAAAAGAATCTATACAAATTTTGTTTCATTTAGTTAGATAACGATAAAGCTTCTTTTATATCAAAATAAGAGTAATGAATCTTTGCTCTACAGCTATACATAGACAATTAAGCTTAAAATAATTCAATATCACATGATTAATATTTATTTTTCTAAATCTTATATAAAAAATAAGATAAGTATTAATCAATGATTTAAGAATATTGAGAAATGAATGAAAAATAAAAAATATTATTAATATTTCTATCAAAATTTTTAATGTATTGTAATATATATATAGGGAAAGATTTTCTTACACCAGTGTAAGTTTAAAAATTCTCACACTCAATTTAAAATTTTTTATTTAACTTACATCCAATAGTACACGAAAGTAATAAATTATAATCTATTAAATATAAGTTAAATGAAAGGTTCAGTATAAATATATATATATATATATATATTTATTTATTTATTTATATTATACATCTCCCCGTGTATATAAAAATAAATGAGCCCGTCTACGTGGTTGTAAGTAAATATTCATGTGATGTTGTAAATACTTACGATGGTGTGTACATGAGATATTTGAGAGGGGGAAAGCTGTGAAAGAGCCACTTTGGAACGATCTCAAAGTTGGAGTGGCCCATGTTGTTCATAAAATCAATGTAAGTGACGTATGCCATCATGGCCACCAAAGAGGCTGTTTTTGTGAAGACTAGGGTTAACTTGGGTATTGCAAAGAGAAGGAAATATGATATGTGTTCTGCAAATGGATGGATGACAGCTGCACCACCAAGAGAATAATATTGTTATTACATATATAATATAAAAATCAAAATTAAAAGTGCTGAAAATTAATGTGTTGGCTCATAATTAACAAACAAATTTATAATAAAGATTACAGGTGGCCATGAAAATAATTAAAAGTGCTAAATAGTCCACATGTATGGTGGTCCTCTTTCATGTCTGTTTTGGCCAATGCATGACATTAACCTATCTAGTTGATAAATCAACCACCACTTTTCGCCTTTGATTGATTGGTACTGTGATTCATTTCCGAAGGCAAAATTGTCTTTAACAAGTATTTTAAATATCTCAAAAATATGTTATTAGAGATCAAATCCTACTTTCAATACATATAAGCAGCATGAATCAAATTCTACTATCACCCCTTCGTCCTCCAACAGATGGGGTAATAAACAAATCAAATTATTAGTTAATTGAAATCTGATGTGATATCAACTGTATGTGAAGGAAAACATATCCTTAATATATTATTATCAAAATTAAAATAAAAAGTTATCGATGAAATCACAAACCTTCGAGTAAGAAAATAGTTTTTATCAGTTCATCGTGAATAATAAATAGTTTTTTTTTGTCATGATATGAATAAATATACAGACATATGTTATTTTTAAAATAATAAATTAAAAATAGAAAATAATATTGAGCTGAAATAAAATAATGTCATGTATATTTATATTATGCCTTTATCAAAATCTTTTTATTAGAAATGATTATTCTTCCAATTTAATCCGGACTTATCCAAATTGTTAAAATATAAATTGGGTTGGGGGTAGTTTTTAAGTTTTGTGACATCAGATCATTATTGGATTGTGCACTTTAAATCTGATTGTTTTTATTAGCTTCACTTCAAACTCGAAGAGGCTGAACTAACTTGAAATAGCTTATTTTTCTCACTTTTCTCCATTATTGATGATTTATTTTGATAACTTTATAATTACCATTTTATGATATGTATGTATAATATAAAATTTTATCATGGTTTTTCATAATAATTTTGATTTTCATAAATATTCTTTAAACAAATTAAAATCATACACATATATAAACATATAGATATATTGACTCGATTCTATCTAGTAAAATCTAACCTAATTAAATTTAATTATTAGTTCATATTGTATGGCCAAGATAATCTCTATGGGGAGTGGAATCTAGACTACATCATAGACAACATTAAAAATATAAATCTTTGTCGACATTCTAATTATAAAGTGGTCCTGCCTTAAGAAAGAAATACAAAGGGGACCTAAAATCTTTAGAAATCCAGTTTCAATCAAATTTATCTTTCAATTTGAATCAATTTCCACCTGCCGTATTACTGGTGGTCCTAATGAAAATAATGACATGCATGCAGTCTGCATTTCTCAGCAAGCACAGACGACGATCACATTCAAAAGAGGCTGACAATTGACAATAAAGTATGCACATAAAATGCAAATATTAAAGGTTGTTTGCCTGCTTTGAATTCTGAAAGCAAAAGCATTTCATTGAATGCTATATATATTTTTTCTATGCAACAAATATATATTAAGGAGAGAGAAAAGAAAGCATGAAATAAAATAATTCATGTAATAAAAAATTGTAAAAAGTATGATATGTATGAAATAATATACAAATTTCAAAAAACTCACAACTTATGGGTTCTGTGACAATGGAGGAGTGGTGATGAGAATGATAACGAGAGTAGAGAAAGTGATGATGAAGTGCTCTATGTAACCAGTAATAAAGAAACTCCACTGGTCCAGCATGAAGCAGGATTGTCATTACCACTCCGTTTGTTCTCCACAATGGAAGACGTGATGCCCCATCTAATGTATAGGCTGCCAAGTAATATAGTAATCCATTGAACAATATTTGGTCATCCCTACATGATCAAAACAATAAGTAAATAAACAGCTGAAAAAATTAAGTTAACCTAAATGATAATATGAATAAATTTTTTTCTTCTATATGTTTTGCAACAATTTTGTGTGTTTTAGTTACATTACACACGTCATTAAAGTTATTTTTGGAAAGTTTTAGGAGGAGAGAAAGAAAATAATATATTTTTTAATTTTAAATAAAAAATTATATATTAATTATGATGATAAATGTAAGATTAATAAATTAAATTTATATTGATATATCAATTTATATATTTATTTTAAAATTTTTAATTTAAAATATAAAAAATTATTTTTTTCTTTATTTTTAAACATTCTCTCTCAAACATACTTTAAAGAAAAAAAATCTATTTAATAATTTGAGATGGGATCAATTCAATGATACTAATCATCTAATTTATTTTTATTTAAATTCTATCAACCTATTTAATATTGAAATTAATAAATAGATTGAATTAAACTGTTATTTGTAATTGGCTAGACGACAAATCATCTAATATATTTTAGAATTCATTAAAATACCCTTATTTTAAGGTGATATGCACGATTTATGAAAAGGGAAATATAATAAGAGTGATATAATTTTTAAAAAAAATAAAGAGAAATAAAGAGATGATGGGTCTAAACAAGGAATGAAAATATTAAGTTATTTCTAAAGAGTACATGCATACTCATGAGCTCTATATTAGGGTTAGGTATATATATATATATACAGGAGTAAAAGAAATATCTAGATTCAAGATATATATAGGGCTCACATGTCAAATTTGTCATTAATATCTATACTTTTAACTGTACCAGAAAAATAAATAAATAAAATTTATGAGACTATAACAGTGTTTTTTATTTCTTTTTTAAAAAATGGACTACTTGTAACCTTCTTTAGGGTCCCAAGCCATGAAATATTACTCTTAGAGTGGGATACAACTTAATAACCTTAACTACCATTGATAAAGTGTCATGAATACAAATCTGTCTCAGCTTCCACCCACGGAGACGAAAGAGAATCATTTATCAATACACTAAAAGATATCTGAAATATTTGGCTGTTATTTAAAGAGATATTCGGGGAGGACCTACTATTCCATGAACTAATATCTAACCATGATCTTGTCTTTTTTTTTCTTTAGGATACAGACCCAGAAGCCTTTGGTGGGGTAATTCTTTCATTAATATATAAATTTAAAAAATTATCGTATTTGTGAGATTGGAACTAACTTTCTTAAATGCACTTAAAGAAAAAAAAATGTAAAGTTACAATTATTAGAGTTAATATTACATGTACACATTCAAAAAAAACCAATAATGTAAATAGATATGTTATATAATTTTATTCTTAATATTAAATGCTTAATATATTAATCATATAGTTAATAATAGTAAAATAATAACACGATACCAAATGGATATTAGCAAAGAAAAAAAATAGAGATTGAGTTGGAGTGGGGGTGGTTGGAGTTCTCATGTTTCACAGACTAACCAATTTCTTTCTCTATCAACTTGATCAAATTCAATTCCCTTGTCGACAATTCTAGTGTTGCCTTTGGCTGTTCGGTGACGAGAAAGAGTGATCCATATCTGATTATGAAGCATACGCCACAGCAAAAATGGGAATATAAGAAAGGTGGATATGTCCCTTTCACTCTTATCTTTAACCAACACAGAATATGAACTATGAATGATCCAAGGAGCTAGTAGCACATACTGCAAAATTTCACCATTAACATTTTAAGTAATTGTAAGCAACACATCCAGCAAATTAACAAAAGTAACGATGACATAAAGGATGGGTAATAAAATTTATTTGCTTATGAAAATATATAAATTCTTGATTATAGATGCTTATCTCACTTTCAAATTATTCTTGAAGATGCTTATAAAATAGGATGATTAGTTCGTTTTGGTATCTTTCAATTTTCATAAAAACAATAAAGTACACAAAAAATGTCATTTTTATTAGTTTCACTTGTGGATGCTACGACAACTGGTGATAGTTTTGCATGTTATGTATACAATAAACTCTGTTTTTAGTTATAAGGTTTAAATCTCTAATATGAAGGATATATTTTAAAAAATAAAATGAAATAAATAATCATTAATGATAAATTCAAAAGACAAAATTAGCATATATTTTATGTTTTTATTTCATATAAGAAAAACTAGAAGTCTCACGTATTTATGAAACTGCAGAGGTGCCTGTATTTTATAAAATGCACAATGACGAAGGGTATATTCTAAACATGCAATGTAGTTAAATTGCAAATAACATTTATTTAAAGCTGACTCTGTTCCTCCAAAATGCAGGTATGTGCACTTGTTCTTACTTTTGAGGAGCTAACATCACAATGTGCTTGAAATCAAATCAAAACTATTCATACTTAATTTACTCACTATGCAAAGAAGTTTACTTTAGCAAAGTTTTTTTTTTTCATTTGTTTTGCGTTATAGTAATTCATTTTAAAAGTATGCATAAAATAAAATAAAAAACTTATCCATGCACAAATTATTTATTTATTTTATAAATTTTCTAATGTACAATATTGTACAAAATGAAAAAAAAAGTTATATATAATAAAATTTATTAAATATTGTCACATTCTATATAATTAAATGCATTAAGACTTTTTAATATTAAAATTTGTGATAAAATAATTAATATATAACTTCTTCTATCCATAAAATATTGTATAAAATTAAAAAAAAAATCGTTTATTTAATAACAACAATGAAAGCAATGTGGCATGTTATTGTTTTTACACTTCCATGTATGATTCTTTCCAAGACTTGACGTGTGTTTAATGGTGGATGAATCACATGAAAGAAAATAACAACTACTATTAATATGATAGATAGATGTAGAGAAAGAGAAAAAGAAAGAAAATAGAGAGATTAAGGTAATAACTAAGGCCTATGCAACCTTAAAGCTTCCAAGAGGCTTCCATGGCCACTCAGTGAGGATTCCAGGCCTTGAAGCCATACCTTAATCACAGCTGAGAGTTGTGACAGAAGAGAAGTGTCTTTTGTTGTTGTGATGAGCCCTCGTGAGTGTAGTGGGTAACTATATTTATAGAACTCAATTTCACACAAAACAATTGATGTTTTTTAACTCCCAACAAAAACCAAACCCCATCACTCACCATCACATGGCCAAACAGGCACGTTATGCTTTTAAATAATGCATCCCTTGACTTTCCCATATTAAACTTCATGCGTAACCAAATTGGGGATGTCACGATATGTTCATTCGTTTCCATGATATTTAGTTCTGTGACCGACATTGTGTCCTATAATTAATGTTATCGTCATTTATTGGTCTCACCAATCTTTGTACTATGGGAAGGCCATGAATAAGACTCATGATTTATTTATATAGCCTACTGTTGTGTTACTTTCTATAATTCTTTAAGGATTAAGTTATATATATATATATAATCATGGACTTAAGAATTCAGTTTAACCATTTTAAAACAGTAATTTATTATTTAAAAACTACATATTTATTATTTTAAGTTTATTAAAATATCGTATATATTTTTTAAATACACGTTATGATTATTAGTTGCTTAAATGTGGTTTTGCAAATTAAAATTAATATTTTTTATTTTTTATGAGTGTAAAATAAAAATAAAAAGAATATATATATATATACACACAAAAAATATATGTATAAATATTTATTAAAAATTATTAAGTATCATAAAATTTAATAATTTTTTTATATATAAACAAGTGTATCTCTTATTAGTTATATTTATGTTTGAGTTGGAAAAACTTCTATTAATTGTTTTACATGTTTAATAATATTAAATTTCATAAATTAATAATAAAGAGTATAATTTTTCATAAAATTTTTATTTATTATTATATATTTTATATGTTACATTTAAAATTATTATTTATAAATATAGTCAATATTTATAATTATTATTTTATATTTTATTATTTATTAATAAATATTTTTTAAAATATATTTTATGATTATTAGTTACTTAAATTTAGTCTTAAAAAGAATTAAATTTAATATTTTCTTTTTTATGTGTAAAATAAATAAAATAAAAATAAATTAAAATAATATATATATATATATATATATATATCTAAGTAAAAAGCAGTACAAATTTATGTATAAATTTTTATTAAAATTTATTAAATATAATAAATAAAATATTTCTTTAATTCAATCATTGTCCAATAAACGATAGACACCTAAGTCCACCATGAATTCGTGCTAAGATGGCTGGTGCTGTCTAGCCCTATAATAAATGAAGTAGTTAAAAAAGTACAAATAAATTTGAATATAAGAATATTATTATTTTGTATTGGTTAATTTCAAAAATAGATTTTATATATATATATATAGTTTATCATTAACGCGCTTCTAACACAAAGCAGGTTTTGAAATGGCTGAGAATTCAGCAATGATATCTGTACTGCTCTATTTTGTCTCAGAGTACGGAGGGCATACCCCACGCCAAGAAGAAAAAAAAACATGTTCGGCGGGGCATATGATCTGCAGCAATATTTATTTTCATGGCATACTGCTGTGAAATTACTGTCATTTATTAATTATTAGTTATATTATCATATTATAAAACTTTATTAAATAACATTTATTAATAAGTTTAATGGCATGATTAAACATGGTAAATCCTTCTTTATTCTCTCAAACACACGTAACTTAACTGTAGTTAGTCTTTTATTTTCTAAAATTAATTATTATTAATTATGTTAGTTTCTACTATTAAATGATGTTAAAACTGAGTACTAAAATTATGATTTATCACATTAAATATATATGGTAGTGACACAAAATGATATTATTTTAAAATTATCAAGTATAAGAATTATAAAATCAGCATTTTCATTAATATGTTTGAGGAAAACTATTCTTTATTAGTTTCAAAGAGGTTTCAAACTATAGATAAATAATTATAAAGAAATATAAAAGTTTTATATGTGACAACTTTCGTAAGAATTCACCATATAAATATACTCATTATTGTCAATATCTACATACGAGATCTCTTCATTAAATTGATAACAATTGTTATTCACCCTTAGATCTATTAGTGAAAAAATTTAAGATGAAAAAGCTTTGTATTGTAAACATCATTATACCAGTAATCAGAACAAAGAAGATATTATAAGAGTAAGAGGAGTATAAAATGAAAACGACTTTGTTATTTGAAAATGTTAAAACTCAAGAATGAAAATATCTATTTTTTAAAGATTATAAAATGATATTATTTTGTTTCACAATCACGTGTCACTTAACGTGACAAATTATAGTTCTATCACTTAATTTTAATATCTCTTATTAACAGGGACTAATGTAATTGATAAATATTAATTTTAGAAACTAAAATTTAAAATATAAAAAATTATATTGACTGCTGTATATTTTAAAATTTAAAGTGAAAGTTTACTCCATTAAATATTGCACTTTTCTACAATAAATTTTAATTTGAGAAGATTCTTATCTTACCTAGAGAAATGGATGCACTAATTAGTTGTCACAATGCTGAGAGAAGAAAATAATAAAAAGAAAATATAATTTTTTTATATAGAAAATTAATATAAATGTAGAACTCATAAAAATTAAGAGTACTGCTGTATTCTCAATTGGACCTGCTATAATAGATTTCTTATATTTATTTTAGTTTTTCTTACCGTTTTGCATAATAATTAATCCATTTAATATTTTAATTACAAATGCTTCTTTGATGTAAGCTCTCCAATATTGCTGAGCATAAACTCTAAGATATTGCTCTCAAACATGTAGCAACCCCTGGCACCCCATTGGAAGATCCAAGATCACTTCAAAGAATTCTACAAATACTCTTCGACCAATTGTAGTATTGCCAACTTCGAACTCTAAGTTATATAATTATAATTATTAATAATATGTAACTTTTTTATATCAGAAAAGAAATGTACTAAGAAGTACAAAGAATGTTCTAAATAATTAAGTTTTATAAAAAAATTTAAAAACATAAATTTTATTTAATGATTTTCACTTTCAATTTAATAAGTTTCTTTTATACTTTTATAATTTTTAATAAATTTTATTAAATAAAAAAAATAGTATGTTAAAGACTATGTTTGTAGTATTCCTAATTGTCACACACAATACATACATAAACTAGTTGTGTTTGATAAAATTATCCAATAATCTAATAAAAATAAATTAGTCAAAAGTTAAAAGCTAATAGTTAATTAAATTTAAATTTTTTGATAAAATTAGTTATAGAACTAATTACTAAATATAATTAAAATGATAGATAATCACATAATTAATTGTCAAACCAAACATGGAATTTGATAGTTTTATGATTTAAATAATTATAAAAATGTATATATTAACTTTTTAAAACTATTTATTATCTCAAAAAATTAGATGATAAACTTTGTAATATTGTTCTCCTTTATAAATATTTTCATTTGATGAACTGAGATAAAAATGAATTTTATTATTAATTTAATATATTATAAAGAAATGAAATTTGATATTTTGCTAAATTCTCTTTAAAAAATTATTATTTCATAAAGGAATGGATGTGGTGACATTTATTTGTTTGTTTTGTTATTTGTGACTAAGGGTGAGTAGTAAAAGGAGGTTTGACCTAACGCATTAAATTTGACAAATGACAAATGTGTGTGAGGTTGGTTTGGGTTCAAATTAGGTCAAGTAAAAAGAAAGTTAAAAATGGGTCCAATTGGTTAGTTTCGGGTGTAAGATTTTGAGATTCATTAGAATTTGAGATGGGTCGTGGAAAACTCTTATCATGAGATCCTTTATATTGCTCCCAATTTATTAGGCTGAAAATGATTTGAAAATTAAGTTTTAAAGGAAAAAAGAAACCCTAAATAAGAATCATATTATTATTTTGCACCTTTGTCACCCTATTCTTTTCTCTCTTTCTCTCATCTCTTCTCTCTTGGACCACTTAATTGGATTATGGTTTTTATTATTATCTCCTCTCAAACCACAAACCTCGATCTTTTACACTCACTCGACATCGACACCACTATCATCAACTTATCATTCTCACAGTGTTCATCACTAATAATATTCCATCTCCAACAATGATTCATCTTCAATCGTATATTATGAGTTTCTCTCATCTCTCTATGTTCATCTTTTCTTGCTTCAACTGTGACAATGCCCATTATAGATGTGGCACCAAAGACCCTAGACCTATTGAAACCCAAATGGTCATACTCAAAAAAGGATGAACTGAGTTTTAATTTTTTTTCTAAGTTTCACAAACAAATATTCAAATGATTTGCAGAAATATAAAACATTAATGCAATGAAAGTATACACTAATAAAATAATTAGAATTATAAAAGGTTAAGGATATAGGAAAAGAGATACACAAATTTTGTTTATCTTGATTGATTTGGCACTGTTCAAAGATATGTTACAATATACTTTTACAAAATTTTAGGATACTAAAAATATATTATTGAGGATTGTTGCGCACTTACAAAGAATTTTGTACTTTCTTCTCTGTATGGGTTCATCAATTTTGTCTCTAAATTTTTAAACCTATCATATTAATCTTTAATATTAGCTATTATTATTTATATTAATCTTTTATGTTAAGTGACGTTAAAAAGAATTAACGATACGATTAGTTTACATGTTAAATAATATTATCAATTACACATTAGAGGAGAAAATGATGTCATAAATAACAATTTTTTTTATAAGTTTTAATACGTCTACGCTTCAAAACAATTTAGATGAAAAAAAATACAAATAATTAAATAATTTATAAAATAGTTTCAGTCAAAATCCTTTAAATCGTAAACGGAATCTCAAATTTTAACCACTTAACCCAAAAATATTTCTTAACACTTTTTTCATTTTCTCATCTTTTTATTTTGTATTTATTTGATTTTATTTATTCATTACTTTTTTTATTTTTTTCATATAATCTATCCCTTGAAGATTTTTTTATTTGTATAATGTTCATGAAAATTAATGTCCACAAAGTTTGCAGTTAACCTAAGAGATAGTCT